TGCATTTTGCAGATAATTGTTAACATCCCGCAATTCGTACGATATGTCAACAATTGAAATCTGCTTGTTATTTGCATCGTAATAAAACTTATTGTTCGACGAATTCACATTCGGTATCATATGATACGTTTCAAAATCTGTTAGTCCAAGCGTGTAATTACCGTCACTTAAATCAATGACGGGAAAGTAGTTGACTGGAAGGATGCTACTTTTGACGGTAAGTGTGAACGTCAGTGACATGTTGTCGAATGTGTAATGAAGTCAGATAGAGTATTATTTAAGTGAATATTGCTCATCAACCGCTTGAAGAAACCGCAAACATAATTGGTCACAATTGCTTTGATTGTAACGATGATAAGACGTACGGTTATATTCTAGTTTGTCTAGCATGTTCTAGATAACGCACCACTTTTTTCGGTGGTCGAAGATTGCCGAAACTGTCAAAATATATGACATGTTTTTCTCTCTTCGCATACGACACCCAGTGGGTACCTGGTCCATTTGTATCATCTAAATTGACGATACCACTTTCGTTTCGACGTACTACGTTCGGTAAGGTAATACGCATAAAAACATCACTAAAGAAAGATATGCGCATGCGCTTAGCTAGNTGTTCTAACTGCATATTTGTTGTTACATTTGTAGGTAATTTTAATGTCTTTTCAGCGTTTTATGTCTTCTTTGAAAGTTCCTGTCCGTACGGAATCAGATAAATTTCCCGACCTTCTATCACACGATTATGACGCTGCATTTCTTCTAGCTGTTGCTGCGCAGCTCTTGTATCATATACTGTTTTTGCAACTCCAGCCGCTTCACCAAAGAGTGCACCGAGAGCATCCACCAGTGGTAGGACCGGTACCAAACCACCGCGTTTAGCAATCGGAAGTATTCGCTTCCTTTTTGCTGACTTGCTTTTCTTTTTCAAATCCATGCCGAGTTTTGTCTTCGTTTTTATAGCCGCTCACACGGCGGTAGCAGCGGCTTTTTCACCAAGACACAAGTCTGCCGCTGCAATCGCGAGCCTTTGTAGCAAGTATCTTATCAGCCACGTGGCGAGCAGCGAGTTCGTTGCTTCTCGAATAAGCTATATTGTGTTCACGGCAAGCCGCGTCTAATAGATTAATTCTCCGATTGTCTCTAGCTAATCGTTTCTCTAAACGCGTTCCCGGGCTACAAAATTGGTAACCAGGAATATGTAATTTATCGGAAAGAGCGTTTATCACGCGATTTACCAATCCACGACTTGACATAGAGTGCAACATACGTTTGACATCAATGGTCTTCTGACGACTGAGTAGAAATACTCGACGCGTCACTATAAATAGGTGCTACTTTACTTATTGCAAGATAGTTGCAAAGAAACCATTCGCGCGGTTCGTGCGGCAACCGAAGGTAATCAAAGTAACTAATTTCGACAGCAAAACTCAACAAATGTCCGACAAAAAAATACGCAGACATAAAATAACGCTACCGGTTACTATACGCGGTATTGTGTGCGATCCTTCGAATTGTGGCAAGACAAACGTAGTGTTAAGCTTGCTTGAAAGTCCACACGGTGTACGCTCTGAGAACGTGTACGGGTATTCAAAGTCGGTGCAACAACCAAAATATGAATATCTAGAGAGAGAGTGCACTTTCATCAGTAGATGAAATCGGTTACTTTACCTTTTCTAATAATAGCGATGTGATTCCGCCGAACGAAGTATTTCCGAATTCTATTTTTATCTTTGATGACGTGGCATGTGACAAGCAAGATACGATACGAAAATATTTTGCAATGGGTCGTCACTCGAGTGTCGACTGTTTCTATTTCTGTCAGACGTACGCGAGGATACCAAAGCGTCTTATACGTGACAGGGCAAATCTACTAATTCTTTTTAAACAAGATGGTATTAATTTCAAACATGTGTACAACGATCACGTAAATACAGATATGTCATATGAGGATTTTTACACAGTTTGTCCGGAAAGTTCCCGGAC